GTGTGTGTGTGTGTGTGTGTGTGTGTGTGTGTGTGTGTGTGTGTGCCAAAGGACAACATCAGCTGTTGTTTCTCAGGTGCTGTCTATCTTGCTTTTTGATACATGATCTCTCACTGACCTGGGATTTGCCAAGTAGGCTTTGGTGGGCTGTTCAGCAAGCTATGGAGATCTGTCCCTGTCTCTGTCTATCTGTCTGTTTCTCTGTCTCTGTCTCCAGAGCTGAGATTACAAGTGTGCACAACCATGTCCAGCTTTTTACATAGATTCTGGGATTTGAACTCAGATCCTCAAGCTCGCAAGGCAAACATTTTAACCACTAGGCTATATCCTCAGCCTACAAGATACTACCTTAAAAAATAAGTAACAAAGGCTCTAAGGTCTGGGTGGGATCTCCATGTCACTCTGCCTCCCCTCTCTCTGGTGGGATTACCCAAATGCATGCTGGGAACAAAACTTGCACTTAGACTGTTGTGAGCACTGTGTAAATGTCATCATTTCGTTAACTACACTGGTCAGCTGCAGGCATCTGGGGCTATCTGCTCACCCGTCCTTACAGGGGCCTTCCTCATTCCCTATTTCATCGCTCTGGTCTTTGAGGGGATCCCACTCTTCTACATCGAGCTTGCCATCGGCCAGCGCCTACGAAGGGGCAGCATTGGAGTGTGGAAGACCATTTCCCCCTACCTTGGTGGAGTAGGTATGCTCCCTTCCCAGCCCTACTCAGCCACCGCTCAGGCTCCTTGGGGACCTCTTAATTGGGGGGTGGGGCACACTTATGGTGAGGGACATGGCAGGCATAGGAAAACAGGGCAACAATTGTTAAAAAGACACAGAAGCTGCTGTGGCAGGTCACGTTTAAGGGGAGGATTCCATTTTATTCTCTGCCTGGCCCTGGGTGAATTACTGTGTCTGCAGGCCTGGGCTGTTTCTCAGTGTCCTTCCTGGTCAGCCTGTACTACAACACCGTTCTTCTGTGGGTCCTATGGTTCTTCCTCAACTCCTTCCAATACCCGCTGCCCTGGAGCACTTGCCCATTGGATCTCAACAGAACAGGTGAGAACCCACGGGGAACTTGGAGGTTCCATGTGTGGCACTGGGCAGACGCAGGTGGAGCTGCAGAGCACATACCTCAGGTCTCTCCCCTGAAGGGCACATTTGAAAGCCAGTCCTTTAGCTCTTGGCTTCTGACTACCTGCTGAGCCCAGAGCCATCTGGACAGATTTGTTCAGAGAGAGGCACCTGGCCTCTTGCAGTGTTCTTCATCTTAGCCGCGGTACCAAAGAGAAGCAGGGGAGGGTTCCTGGAACTGAGGAGAGAAATAGTTGATAAATCTCTTGCCTCACAAGCATGAAGATCCGAGTGTGATCCCCAGAACTCACGTTGCATATGGTGGTGCGAGCTTACAATCCCCGTGCTGGGAAGACAGAGAAAGCAATATCCCTGGGGCTCACTGACTAGTCAGCCTAGCCTAATTGATGAATGTCAGGCCAATGAAAGATCCTGTCTCAAAGAAGATGGATGGTATTTCTAATAATGATACCCAAAGTTATCCTTTGCCCTCTGTGCACACATGTACACACACCACATCCACACATATACACACATACATATATACATGGACGGACACACACACACACACACACACACACACACACACACACACACACACACACACGGCTCCTGAGCCCAAAAGGGAGGCAGTATAAACAGCCCAAGTAGCCCTTTCAAGAGCAGCTGAGTGACAGGCCAGCTGTGGAGGGCCTGCCATGCTGGCACCTGTAGTTCATGGGTAAAACTTAGGGCATGATATGGACTGTCTCCCAACTCTGTGACTAGCCAGTAACAGTGCTCTTGGCTCCAGGATTTGTGCAGGAGTGCCAGAGCAGTGGCACTGTGAGCTACTTCTGGTACCGGGAGACTCTGAACATCACATCTGACATCAACAACACAGGCACTATCCAGTGGAAGCTGTTCCTCTGCCTGGTAGCCTGCTGGTCAACTGTGTACCTGTGTGTCATCAGAGGCATCGAGAGCACAGGGAAGGTGAGTTGCACTGCCTGCACACTGCGTGTGAGGAGCTTGTGTGCCAGAGATGCTTTCTAGAACTGACCCCTCCTGGTTACTCAGTGCTTCCTCCTGGTCCTGCCTGTCCTGGAACTGACCTATATCTAATGGGGACTGACTTTCTTCTGTGTCCTCACACAGTGTGTCCACCTCCTCTGTGTGTATATGTTGAATGTGTGCTCTTGTTGACAGCATCCTGTTGGGTCTCTTTCATCCCACCCCTGACCACTTCTGTGGGGTCCTGGCAACCTCTGTTCCCATTGCTCTTTCTCTGGGAAGTTACATCCCACATGCCCTCCTTGGTTCGCTACAGAGCTGCCAAGAGCACCAACTGATCCACCCCCATCCCACCCCTACTCAATGGCTGCTGACCCCATATAACCCATGTCTTTAAGAACCTCCTCCTGTTTCTCTCCCCCTTCTCCCTCCCTGGCTTGGCACTGCTTTTGCTTCTAAAGTGTTAATAGCACAAGCATTGTCTGGCTCTGCTATGAACAGGTGATTGTCTTTCAGAGACAGAGAACAGTGGTGCCACTGGTTACTGCAGTTCTCTGGAACGCCAGAGGAGGGCTTTGGAAGCCACACACACGCACGCACACACGCACGCACGCACGCACGCACGCACACACGGTTGTCATGCGCAGGTTGTGTTTAGGTGGCCATTTAGACCCTCACACCCTAGTCCTGCCTTTGACTGCTGGCTGCAGAGCTTCTGTACAGAATCCACACAGCCTGTCATGTTCTCAGCAAGCTCTCGAAAATGTACCAGCAGGTCCTATGGTCTGTCTCCTGGGGCTTAGGCACACACAGAGATTATTGTGCCTTGCAGATCCTTTCCACATTGACACTTAGTGAGCAGAAGCTTGAAATACCAGCTGAGGACCAGCACTGACCCAGAGTAGGAGGGAAGAGTGTAGGCAGGTGCAGACAGGGCCTAGCCCTGTGGCCAGCTGGAGTATCAGGGGAAAGAGGATGGTATAGAGAGGACACTGGCCATGTGCCAATGAGCCTAGAAAGAGGAACTGGAAGGAATTTGAAGAGGGGCTCAGAAGGATACAAGTCAGAAACAAGGCCGCCCAAGGAAGATGGAGGAACCCACAGCTATTGCAGAAGGGAGGCATCGCAGGAGGAGGCTGGAAAGGCAGCTGTGGAGGGAGAGGCTGTGGGCTGTGGAAGGGGAGAGGGGAACTGACGTGGGGGTTTGGGATGTGAGGAGGAGGAGGTTGGGGGATGGAAACAAAGGCTGGAAATGGGTGAGGAGAGACTGGAGGGTAGGAGGAGGAGGCTGAGGGGTGGAAAAGGGAAGTTGGAGCAAAGGCTAGGAAGAAAAAGCTCGAGGAGGGGACCTCTTTGTGGGAACTAATCCTTGTTTTTGGGAGAGACCTGTGTGTCCTAGGACCTCAATGTTTACCTCAGTTGACTCCATGGGGCACAAATGTGAAAATGGAGCTACACATGATGTTGGTCCTGAGTCCAAATCATGAGCCTGATCTTGCCTTGATCCCACATCCCCAAGTACCCACTGCTGGCCCCAGAGTACTGGGAGATGAGCCCCGGACATTTACTCAGCTGTTCTTACAAAGGCTTTTTTGTGACACATGCCAGTCCACATTTCATACTTTGTTGTCCTCAGGCAATCTACTTTACAGCCCTGTTCCCTTACCTGGTGCTGACCATCTTCCTCATCAGAGGTCTGACTCTGCCTGGAGCAACAGAGGGCTTGACCTACCTGTTTACTCCTAAGGTAAGTGGACCTTATGCACCTAGGGATCCTGGCCAGGGCATGTTGTAAGTAAGGCCTGCCAAGGCAATGCCGAGTTAAGGCACCCACAGGAATCAGGGGAGGGGGGCCGCATAGCTAGATGAAGCATGCAGTCTTCCAACTGGGACAAGTAGACAACTGAGTGGGGAGACACATGACTGAAGTTGAGGTTCAATTGATGGCAGTGCTGGGAGAGGCTGACTGGGGACCAGGTGCCCCACACCTGGATCAGGTACTGACTGCTGCCCTGCTCCCCATAACAGGGAGATACAAGACTCAGGAGGCCTGTACCTAGAGCCTGTGACCTTTCTAGATAACCCCAAGATCCTGGGAATTTCCCAACACACTTCTCCTAGTGTGAGCATCTGAGAAAGAGTGTATATAGATAGTTCCTACCCCTCAGAGCACCTTTACCGAGTGGGTAAAGACTCAAAGCCCTGGGTCTGCAAGTTCTTGAGTCAGGGCCTTGTCAGAGTCATGTCAGAACCGGGTTGGGTGCTACCCCCAGGCCTGCTCACTTCTGAGATGTTAGAACAAGTGACGCCCTCCTGGTTATGAGTGTACCAAATGTTATAGAATAGTCAGATGGACAAGCTGGAATGGTCTGCCCACTGCATTAACAAGGCCACCCCCATTCATTCCAGATGAAGATTCTTCAGAACCCACGGGTGTGGCTGGATGCAGCCACCCAGATTTTTTTCTCCCTCTCCCTGGCCTTTGGAGGACATATTGCTTTTGCAAGCTACAACTCGCCCAGGTATGCAGCCTATCTGGGGGTGTGGATGCCTTTACAGCTTCAGTATTGAGTTGGCAAACCTGAGACAGACATAGCAAATTGGAATCACACTGTTGGATAAGGGGAACCTCCTGTGAACTCCAAGTGGGGATTTCATTCTGAATAGAGGCTTTTTAAAGACTTCCTGAATAACTATTACCGTATTACTGAGGATAATGCATGATATCCTCTAAAGGTTGCAGATTGGGCCTTGGTGGCAGTGTCTGGACTCTACTAAGTATTCAGGTCACCCAAAGCTGGACAGGGACGTAAGTGGCCCACTACAAAAGCAATTGAAGATACTTCAAGAACTTGGCATCCATTTTGAAACATCAAGCACTGTAATGGGAAGGCATGTGCCATGTGCCATGTGCCACAGCAGATCATGGTCAGGTCCAAAAGAATATGAGAATTTCACAAGTTATCTCGACACAGTGGCCATATAGCCTGAAGTTGATCAGGAAGGATTAACAGTTGTCCTTGCAGAAGTATTCTTTGGTGGACTTTATGTGAGCCGGTTTTGCTTGTTATGGCTGACGCGGGCAGCTTCATTTTCTTCATGACTTATTTTAAATTACTTTTTATTTTTATTAACTTATTTTTACGTGTGTGGGTGTTGTGCCTACTGTGCACACATGTGTGCCTGGTGCCTGAGGAGAGGCCAGATCTCCTGAAACAGATGTTACAGATGTTTGTCAGTGCTGAGAACTTAACTTCAGTCCTCTGTTAGAACAAGTATTCTTAACCACTGAGATATTTCCCCAGCTCCAGCAACTTCATTTTTGGTGACAGCATTCATGTCTTTCACACTGGGTAGGATGCTGGCCAAAATGTGCAAAACATATACATGGATCATAAACACATATATGTAGTGTTAAACTTGCTGGTCTGGTGCTGACACACACAGAGATGCTGCTGCCAGATACCCAGTCTACACATAGCATCTAGGGTGCAGTGCTACTAAGCTAAGCCCCTGGGGCACACTATGACAGACTCTAACAAACGAACTTTATGTGGTCATCCACCTTTCCATAGGACAGAGGAGGTCTCTGAGTGTTTGTAATAGCTTACTGGCCTGAATTCACCCAAAGTGCATTCTCCTTGGAGGGTAGTCTCAAAAACCTGCATTCATGCCCACCACCCCATTAATGCCCAGACCCTTGGTGGTTCCGAGCTGGGTTGTAGTGGAGAAGTGTGGAGAACAGCTGAAGTCATCCTGGGAGCATGAGATCACCCCACCCCCACCCCATATCCTCCAGGTTCAGAGTGAGCACGCCTTAGGCTGTAGAGATGCTAAGGAGGGAATCGTCATTCCCATTTCCTCCCATAGGAAGCCTGGTTCTGACCCAGAAAGTCCCATGATGGCCATGTGCTTGTGTCCAGGAACAACTGTGAGAAGGACGCCGTGACCATTGCCCTGGTCAACAGCATGACCTCCCTGTATGCATCCATCACCATCTTCTCCATCATGGGGTTCAAGGCAACCAATGACTATGGGAGGTGCCTGGACAGGTGAGCATAGGTGCTGTACTGGGCTTTACAGGGCAAAGTCATCAGACAGATGCCCACACTGGAATCCACATACACACAAAATGTGTGGACATGTCCTACTTCCTCAGGGTCATGAGATGAACAGTGTCCTCTGAAAGTTCCTGTCCACTGGCAACCTCAGAATGTGGCTTTATTATAAAGTAATCATTGATGG